CATGACCTGAGCCGAAGGCAGTCGCTTAACCAACTGAGCCACCCAGGCGCCCGAGGGAGAGAGAATCTTAAGTAGATTCCACACTGACCATGGATCCCGACATGGGGCTCGATCTCACAACCCTGAGATCATGACCTAAGCTGCAATCAAGAGTCAGACGCTCGGGTGCCTGGGTGGCTCAGCTGGTTAGGCGACCGCCTTCGGCTCAGGTCATGATCCTGGAGTCCCGGGATTGAGTCCCGCATCGGGCTCCCCGCTCAGCGGGGAGTCTGCTTCTCCCTGTCCCGTTCCCCCCTCTTGTGCTCTCGCTCTCAAATAAATACATAAAATCTTTAAAAAAAAAAAAAAAAGAGTCAGACGTTCAACTGACTGCACCACCCAGGCGCCCGACGGATCTTATTTTCTAATAGTTTCGTAGCGTGCCATTGAACCAAAGCAGAACATTACAGGACAATTCTGAAGACTACCTTCATTATTAGCTGGAGTGGTTTCCACATTCCTTGGTGGCAAAGAAGATGCTTCTGGTTGTGCTGATGCCCATCCTGTGCCGCTCGCCTGCAGCAAGGTGAAAAAGTCATCAGTAAGCAAAGCAAGAAAAGTCACAAGAAAGTCAAAGCAGGGGAAAAGCTAATAATTTAATAGTCACCTTCTAAGTACCTGGATTAACGGGAAGAAAAGATAATATTAAAACATGCTTATTCTTTTTTTTTTTTTTTTAAGATTTATTTGAGAGAGAGAGAGAGTGCACATGTGGGAGGAGGGGCAGAGGGAGAGAGAGAAACAGAGAGAACCTCAAGCAGCCTCCCTGCTGAGTGTGGCGCCTGATGCAGGGCTCAATCTCACGACACATGAGATCATGACTTGAGCCGAAATTAAGAGTCGGACACTTAACTGACTAAATCACCCAGGTGCCCCAGGAGCACACTTATCTTGATGAGCACCAGGTATTGTACAGAGTTGTTGAATCTTTATATTGTATACCTGAAACTAATATAACACTGTGTTAATTATACTTCAATTATGGTCACCAAATCATTGATGAATCAGGTGGTGCCTACCAGGCTTTTCTGCAGTAAAATTACCATTTTCCCCTTTCCCATCCTCTAGTCTTGGGAAACGAGTCACCAAGTTTGGTCTGCACTCAAGGGGAGGGGGTGAAGCTCCACCTCCTGAAGGGCAGAGTTCTCTCTATATACATGATTGAATTTCTCTTTAAGGAAGATCGTCCCTTCTCTTCATTTATTTATTCAATCATCTATTTATATTAGTGTAGACTCATGGATATTTATTTTATTCTTTGGGTTATGGTCATTATTTCGCTATTGAAATTGTTCCAGCTTTGACCATTGGGAACTCTTTCCGGTTGGTTTCCGAGTCCTTTAGGCAGCCCTCCTCTATCTGCCAGCCCCTCTGCCAGCGCTACAGGATGCTCCAGGCTCAGCTGCCCCAGCAGCCCCAGGCCTAGAATCTGCCATTTCTCCACAGGCAGCCCTGGTTCCTCTTGGTGCTCACCCAGGGACACATACACATACGTCATCGGTGCTCCACCGTGTGTCTGCAAGTGTGTGTTACAGAGACTCACTAAAACAACGTGAGTTCATATTAATACTAATTCTAGGGGTGCCTGGGTGGCTCAGT